TACCCCGAAACCCTGTTCTCATTATTACAACCCCTAAATTAGGGTGTGGGATGTAGGATGGAGGGTTGGTGCACAAGGTTTAGGGTGCAAGATGTAGGGTTGCTGATGTAGACGCGCGACCCAATTCGACGCAATTATTTGGGGTTTAGGGGTTTCGGCCTTAGAGTTTAGGCTTCGTCTACAAGCCGGTTTACAATGACACCAAGTACCTGACACAGACAAGTGGCTCTTAGACTAGCCATGATGTTGTAAGGGTCTAGCATTCCCGTGCTGCAACCACTGAGAATTTACGGTTTCGCTGTAAACCCCAAGCCTTTGCTGCCCTAAACCCTAACACAAACCCTTTCAACTCCGGGGACTTTAAACCCTAAACCCTGAACTCTAAAATCCTGAACCTAAACTCCAGGGACCTCATCCCCAAATCCTAAACTCTAAACCCGAAGCCCGAAACCCCAAAAACCCTAAAGCCTAAACACCCTAAGCTCCAAAGACCTACGCCCCAAACCCTAAACCCTCAAAGCCCTTACCCCCAACCCCTAAACCCTAAACTCTAAACGCCCCAAAGCTCAAAAATCGTAAAAAGGCAGCAACACCCCTAAACCCTAAACCCTAAACCCCAAACCCAAACCCTAAACGCTAAACCCTAAACCCTAAACCTTAGACCCAATCCTGCAACGGGCCTTCAACTCTAAACGGGCAGGTCCTCGAGCCTCTCTGCGACAAGCTTAAGGCCACGGCCCAACCTTCGGACCTGGGTCATCAACCCCTTTTCTTTAAGATCTTATTTAGGGTTTAGGGTTCAGGGTTGAGGGGTTGAGGGGTTTAGATGTTTAGGGGTTTAGGGTATTGGGGTTTAGGGTTTAGGGGTTTAGGGTTTAGGGTTTAGGGGTTTAGGTTCTTGGGCCTAGTTTCACATGAGGGTCCCTATTATGATCCTGATGAAGGAAGGGGTATCTTCGACTCTTCTAAACCCGCGGCCCCAAACCTTTAACCTAAACCGTAAACCCTGAGCCCTAAGACCTACACCCCAAAGAACCCAAAACCTAAACCCGAAGGCCTGAACCCTAAACCCTGGTTTAGGGTTTAGGGTTTAGGGTTTAGGGTTTAGGGTTTAGGGTTTAGGGTTTAGGGTTTAGGGTTCAAACAAAACCTTCACCGATCCTGGTCCCAAGTTGCGAACCCGAGAGTCGAACTCCAGGGGCAATTATTTCAGGCTTTCTGGTGCAGGCTTGGGGTGTTGGGCGTTAGGGTCAATGGGTTCAGGGGTACTGGGCTTAGGGGTACTGGGCTTTAGGGTTTAGGGTTAAGGGCTATATGGGGCTTTAGGGTAACTAAACCCTAAACCCTAAACCCTAAACCCTAAACCCTAAACCCTAAACCCTAAACCCCTAAACCCTAAACCCACGGTAGGGGGCTTCAGGATGGAGGGCTTTAGCTTTAGGGTATGGGGCTCCAGGTCAAGCCTCTACTTGTAGCTGTTTAGGGTTTAGGGTTTAGGGTTTAGGGTTTAGGGTTTCTTAGGGCCCCTTCTTTTGATCTCTTTGGCGCAGTGCTTTAGCAGGTAGGGCTTGGTGGGTTTGAGTGTTTTTTTTGGGCGTGAAGCTCCCAGATTTCAGGCAATCTTGTCAAGAGGTTCCCCTAGTTGCGGAAGGCTTTACAGGCCTGCATATGCCATATGCTTTTCCAGCATCACAGTGGGATAGTATGAGGCTTTTGTTGGACTCTGGACCCGGCCGTTGTGTTCCGAATCCCAAATCGTAGATCCAAGACACGGGCCTGAACCAATCCTACATCCTTATCCCTAAACCCTAAGCCCTAAACCCTAAACCCTAAATCCCTAAAGCCCTAAACGTGCAACTTGGGATCGGATTTATTGCGCATCTTTACTGCCCTGCTGGGTTTCACGCCGTTGGTCGACCATCGTGTTGCTAGGCAGCACAATCGGTGATCGCTCACGGTCTTCAAAAGACCATCAAATTCGGAACCCTGAACCCTATGTGAAAAGAGGTGATAAAAAAACAAAGAGCCTTATGTTGGTGTTTTTTCATGAAGGCATCGTTGCCGGCGAACCGGGTGAACAAAAGGATGGGCAACGGCGGCTTCTCAGGTCCCTGATGCTCAGGTAGCTTAGGTCCGTGCCGGCAGTTTGCCTCCGTGGAGTTTTGGCAGAGCGCTTGGAGTACGAGGACCCTAAACCCTAAACAGTAAAACCCTAAACCCCAAACCCTAAACCCAAACCCCTAAACCCTAAACCCCAAATCCTAAACCCTAAACCCCAAACCCTAAACCCTAAACCCTAAACCCTAAACCTTAGGGGTACGAGGACGGGGCAAGCCTGGTCATATCAGCTTACCTTCGAGGCAGGGCTCAGGATCGCAAGCTGCCTCGGAGCAGCAAGTTTGCTCCCCTACGCGAGATAATATAGGCCCTAAAATAAAAAGAATAGGGTTTTGGGGTTCCTTTAAAGGGATCCTTAAAGGGTTCTATAAGGGATCTATGATAGGGTTCTATGTTAGGGGCCTTAAATAATTAGAATAGGGTTTTGGGGCCCATTATAGAATAATTATAAGGAGTCCCCAAAATAGTATTGGTAATTATTTAGGCCTCTACATTAAACGTATCGACCTTGAGACAAATTTCCTGGTCTGCTACGCAACCACGAGGACGAACCAATTTGCAGCAGCCTTCCATTGGGTTTAGGGTTTCGGGTCTAGGGTTTAGAGTTTAGGGTTTAGGGTTTAGGGTTTGCGGCTTAGGGTTTAGGGTTTAGAGTTTAGGGTTTAGGGTGTAGGGGTTTCTTTGGAATCCATAGAGACCAATCCCCATTCGACGGACGGGTCGTTTTTCCTCTTCCCAAGTCTGCATACAGCCTGACGTGTAGCTCCATACTCAGCGGTTGGAGGCTCCTCACTTAGGTTTGAGGGCTTAGGTTTTAGGGTTTCTGGACGAGCTTCACGTGGATGAGCTTCAAGGAGGAGCTTGGCTACCTGAAGCACCACGGGGTAACCCTAAATCCTCAACCTTCAACCCTGAAAGTGTCCGTGCAGACCCCTGGCAGTAGCCCTTGTAGCCCTAAGCCTTAAACCCCCCTTAAAGAAACCGTTAATGGAGCCTTGAAATCAACTTGACATCCTAAACCCTAAACCCTTGACCCCTAAACCCCTAAACCCTAAACCCTAGAATGAAAGGAACCCTCGAGGAACCCTTACCCCAAGCCCGAAAGGATGGGGGGAGGCTTGGGTCTAACAGGTGTCAACAAAATGCCCTAAAGGAACCCAAAACCCTAGACCCAAACCCTAATAAACCCTAAACCCCCTTAAACCCTAAACCTTAAACCCTAAAAAGCAAATGTTAAATGAACCCCGAAAAGACTGGCACAGAGGCTGCTCTAGGCGCCAGCCGCGCTGCGGTAGATGCAGGCTTCGTGCCGAACGAGCTGCAGGCCGATCCAAAGCAGGTTTTAAGGGCTGTTCCGGTTTCATAGGGTTGTATCGGGTCTAGGGTGCAGCGATTTATAGGGCCCTTATCAGGGTGTTGTATGGTTTTAAGGGTTTTTGCTTGCGCTTTTTAGGGGTTCGCTTCTGCAAGGTTTTTAAGTGTTGTAAAGGGCCTTTTTATGGTGCTTTATGGCGTTTTACTACATATTTGAATTATCGGTTTGTAGAAGGGTGTTATATAAGGCTGCATAGACAATCAGGGACACCAATATAGAACTCCCAGATCATTCCAAAGGGCACCCCCCAAGTAAGCTGCCCTAGTTTTATGGAACTCTGATATACCCCCTTGTCGTGGAGTGTTTGGGGTTTGAGGGCAGACGCGGCACAGCACCAAATTGCAAGAAGGAAGGAGTTCTTGACACAAACTTGCCATGGAGCTGCAGCAGGAGATGCAAAACCCCTTCCGAAGATGGCGCTAGCTGAATGTTTTTCAGGCTTTGTGATTGCCGTCTTCCCTGAACCCGAATTCAGGGATGGACGGGCCAGGGTGTGGGGATATCTTTGGGTTTTTGCTGCGTTTAGGGGATGTTGGGCGTTATGGGAGTAGGGTTGAAGGTTTCAAGGTTCGGAGAAAGCATAATGGGCATACATTAGTGGCCAAACAGTTGGGGAAACCCAATAGCTTCAATCCCTAAGCGTAATGTAGAGGGAATCCCTGCACTATTTGTCCTTAGTCCGGTTTCCAATTTTTTGGGGTTTACTGTAATCCAGACCCACGGGAGGATCCAAAAAATAGATCCCTTGATGGGGGTTCCTATAAAGTACCTTTTCGTAGTTTGGGCCCCAAATTAGGGGATCTACTTTTTAGATCCTCCCGGGGTCTGGGAACCGACGCAAAGCTCCTGGCGAGGTCGGTCAGACGGGAAAAGTGGTGGCACCGCAGCTCTACATCGCCGTGGGCATTAGCGGGGCCATCCAACACCTGGCGGGCATGAAGGCCGGGTAGAAACTGTTATATTATATGGGGGTCGGTCGGAATCAACCCTAAACCCTAAGCCCTGACGAATCTTCCCTGAGGGTCCGTATACAGATATACCACACTCTTTCTGCCAGACCCCTATATTAAGTTTTTTTGGGGGGCGTAAACCGGGTAGCGGGGTTCGTAGGGGTTCAGGAAAGGACACAAGGGGCGAACACCCCGAAGCCTGAGCTGGATACCCTGGGACTTGGGCTCCAGCACTGACCCAGAGAGCGCAACACGAAATAAACCTTAATCAGCCTTAGTGAATCCCCCTTTAGCTGAAAGATTCTTTTTAATTGAGAGGCCATGCTTTTGGGTAGACTTTGCGCACCTAAAGTTGCAAGTTTCGCGTTGCCCCGGCAAGCCAGGCCTTGTGAAACCCTAAACCCAAAGCAGATCACGGGTTTGGGGTGTAGGGGGTTGAGGGTTTAGGATTTAGGGTTGCTTCGATTCCTGAAGGTATTAGGGCTCAGCGCGAAACCCCGCCCGAAGCTCCAGAAACTCAACAAGGCTGCCTCCTAAACCCTGAACCCTAAACCTTAAACCCAAGAACTAGACCCGGAGCTGGGCAAGATGGTTATCAAGAAAGACCTGTGAGTCTAGGATGTGCGGTTGATTAGGGAACATCTGGCACGAATTGGGGCCACACAACGAAAGGCGAATTACGTAAGAATCGACATGCTAAACCCGCAAGCCCTCACTCGAAAAAAAGCCCTAACCATAAACCCTAAACCTTAAACCCTACAGCAGCCCAGGACTCGAAGACCATAGTGGCCATCAACAAGGATGCAGACGCGCCGATCTTCCAGGCCTTACAGTGACAGCAAGAACAGTCATGTAGTGATGTGCTAGCATAATAAGGACTAAACACCAAGCCCTAAACCCTAAACCCTAAACGTCAGAGAACATATTAAACAATACAAAAATCATAATATGCTATATTATAAGGATTGTCGCAGTGAGTCGGGAAGGTCGCCGACTACGGCCTCGTGACGGACCTCTTTGAAGCGGTCCCAGAGCTCACTGAGAAGGTCTGAGTCAGCGCGGTTTTAGGGGTGTAGGGTTTAGGGAGGGGTTGGGAGATCTATAGGGATCGAAACGGGTTCTATGAAAGTGTAGGTTCCTCTGGGAGATCTGTAGGGAATCGGAAAGGGTTCTATGAAAGTTTAAGGTTTTAAGGTTTAGGGTTCCAGGCATTTTAGGGTTTAGGGTTTAGGGTTTAGGGTTTAGGGTCCCTTCAAGAGCTCTATAAAGGAAGCTGCAGGAGTCCTGTGGGGGTTTAAAGTCTATAACTGAGATTTTAGAGCTCAGGGCCACCAGTTTTTGATTGCACGGTTTAGAGTCAGCCGTTTAGGGTTTAAGGCTAGGAATAAGCAATGGAGGTTTGGGGGTAGGGGCCAACAAGTATAGCACATTAGGGCAAACAAAAAGCTGTGGGGTTCAGCGTTTATGTAGTATAGAAGGAGGGATTCAGGTCTGAGAGTTTAGGGTTTAGGGTATGAGGGTTGAAGGATACTTAAGGGTGTGTGTGTTGACGTTTAGAATTTAGGGTTCAGGGTTGAGGGCTTCAGTTTGCCAAATTTCCGAAAACAGGGCTCGCAAGGACGACAAGGAAACGAGAAGTTTCAAGACAAGTAGGCCTTCTTTGAGGGCCTCAATCACAGGATCTATGTCAAGCGCCTATCCATGCAGGGTGTGTTCGTCAGGGGGCGTGCATGAAACGACGTCCCACGGCTTGATACCTCAACCCTCAAAGTGTCGAAAGAGTGAGCTGCAAGGGGGTGCTATAGAAGCCCGAATAGCTGCTATACCATTCATTAGAGTTCCTTTTTATCTATTGTTCATCATGCTATTCCTTAGGGCTCCTTCTTATAATTATACTCGTACTACATACTATAACATGCGACTGCAGAACGAGGAATAGGCCTGTAGTGGGTTGCAGAACGGCGACGGCCCTTACCTAATCTCTACCTGGCAGCTGCCGAACCGAGAACGCAAAACCGGAAGAGCATGAACAGCTGATATAAAAGCTGCATTCGAGGTCGGATGGATGAATGAAGTGTATGGGTCCTCCCACAGAGGGTCTTTAACCCTATCTACCTTGATCCCACCTTCTGACGTCTTGTTCAGACCTCTGTGTCATGCAGCGCAGGCTGTAGGACTTCGAGTCAAAGGTTGAGTGGGAGCAGATGGAACGCACGACGTCATCATCAAACAACACCGTTAACATGATCACAATCCTCATGGTGATCATCCTCATCGTGAGCGTTGATACAGACATCATCACCATCCTCATCGCCACCCTCATCGCCACCATCACCGTCACTGTCCTCGTCGTCATCTTTCATAGGTTACCTAGAGGTTTTAGTTTGGGGGTAGTCTTAAGCTTCGAGTTCGGACATGGATGCCATAGTTAGACATCTTGCTAGGTACAGTTTCAGCGATTTGGCCATGTATGTCACAGCCAAATCGTTTAAACATCGACAGGAGCTCGGCTGGCCACCTGCCACAAAAAAGCATTTTGCCCACGATTGAGCGAACGCCTGGGTCGTACATCTCCTGCATCTTAGACTTATCTTGCATAATGCTCTTTGTGACAGATGGCAGCTGCAAGCTCATGAGAGAACCGGGGCAGCATGCGGGTTTGTAGGTAGCAGCACCCTCGATTGCTTCGACTGCTACTACTGCTGCTTCTGCTACTACTGCCGCTTCTGCTACTGCTGCTCCTACGGCTACTTCTCCTTCGACTGCTACTACTTCTTCTGCTGCTGCTTCTGCCGCTGCTGCTACCACTGGAACTACTGCTAATACTCTTACTCTTGCTGCTGCCGCTCCTGCTGCTGCTGCTGCCAGTATGCTGCTACTACTACTACTACTACTACTACTACCACTACGGCTACCACTACGTACTACTACTACTACTACTACTACTACTACTACTACCACCACCGCTACCACTATTACATGACTACAATGATTTTGCCCTAAACCCCGCAGCTCCAAGCCAGACGTCCTGAGCTTGGCAAGCGTGGAC